AGGAAGAATTCTGATTGTTCCGGGAAACAGAGGAGCTTTCAAATGTGTGTAAAAGACGCAGGGAGAATTTAAAGGTGATGGAACATGGTTTTGACGAGATGTTGTTATCATGCTGAACTATTCTTAAAGGGGCCCCATCTGCTCATTTTCAGGTGTATATCAGTATGTAGTGTCTCTACTTTAAAGAGTCCTCTCCTGCTGATGTTCAGGTGTATAGTATGTAGTGTCTCTACTTTAAAGAGTCCTCTCCTGCTGATGTTCAGGTGTATATCAGTATGTAGTGTCTCTACTTTAAAGAGTGCTCTCCTGCTGATGTTCAGGTGTATATCAATATGTAGTGTCTCTACTTTAAAGAGTCCTCTCCTGCTGATGTTCAGGTGTATATCAGTATGTAGTGTCTCTACTTTAAAGAGTCCTCTCCTGCTGATGTTCAGGTATAATCAGTATGTAGTGTCTCTACTTTAAAGAGTCCTCTCCTGCTGATGTTCAGGTGTATATCAGTATGTGTGTCTCTACTTTAAAGAGTCCTCTCCTGCTGATGTTCAGGTGTATATCAGTATGTAGTGTCTCTACTTTAAAGAGTCCTCTCCTGCTGATGTTCAGGTGTATATCAGTATGTAGCGTCTCTACTTTAAAGAGTCCTCTCCTGCTGATGTTCAGGTGTATATCAGTATGTAGCGTCTCTACTTTAAAGAGTCCTCTCCTGCTGATGTTCAGGTGTATATCAATATGTAGTGTCTCTACTTTAAAGTCCTCTCCTGCTGATGTTCAGGTGTATATCAGTATGTAGTGTCTCTACTTTAAAGAGTCCTCTCCTGCTGATGTTCAGGTATATCAGTATGTAGTGTCTCTACTTTAAAGAGTCCTCTCCTGCTGATGTTCAGGTGTATATCAGTATGTAGTGTCTCTACTTTAAAGAGTCCTCTCCTGCTGATGTTCAGGTGTATATCAGTATGTAGTGTCTCTACTTTAAAGAGTCCTCTCCTGCTGATGTTCAGGTGTATATCAGTATGTAGTGTCTGCTCTGATTGGTTAGCTGTCCGGCTCTATTGTGATTGGTCAACAGCTTAGAGATGTCCCGCCCCTTAGCCTATCACGTACAATGTGTTGGAGCGCTAGCCAATAGGAGCGTGAGGCCTTTGCAGAGCATTTACATGCACAGAAACCTATATATCACGCAATGAAAACCCTAAAGAGCGTAATAGGGCTCCTTTAAGTAAAACAGCTGAATACTTCTATCAATACTGTATAAAACAAACATGTTAGAAATTGCCATTTTCCACAAACAGCCAGCGAAAATTGTGACAATTGAAGTCAATCATCAGTTGTTTTTAATCAAGAAGTTTCTGGAGTTTTAGAGTTAGTGAGCACAAACTTAAAACTGCATACAGAGGCTTTGTTAAAAAGCTTTCTATCATCCCTTACGTATCCAAACATCTACATTTGACCTGATTACAGTTGCACAGATACTGGACCTGTTCTGATCTGCAACATTCAAGTGTCTCTCTATTTGTATATGTTTCCAGATCAATCAGGAGGATGTGATTTTGTTCACGCTTTCTTCCTCCTGTGGCAGCTGCAGACTAAAAACCAGTCAGTGCGAGCCCACAGCGGCATTTTCTGTTTTATCATTATTGCCTTTTTGAAAACAGCTGTATTGTGTATTCCTGCCCCTGTAGATGTTGTTGTATATTGAAATCACAAATACATTTACACCTGTGCTCATCAGACAGTGATTTATTTTGTATGCTGACCAGGAAGTAAGCATGTCCCAGACAAAAAGCAATGGGATTTTTTTCAGTTGGATTTTCGGATAATTGCAGAAAATCATCTCTTTGGCAAAAAGACTTAAGGTCCTGACACACCAAGCCGATTTTCGGTGTCGATAGATGTCTGGCCGTCGATGAGCGTCCTGTCGCCCTACTCAGATTGGTGTGTCCCGCCCCGTTGTGTCTTTTTCGGCCGTGCCGACACCTTCCGTGTTGAATCGGTAGGCTGTCGGTAAAAGGCCGTCGGCCAAATAAATCACTCTGATTGGCTGTTCAGCTAGCGAATCAGTGCATGAGAAGCGAAACGGAAGTGAGGGACCCAAACAAACGATTAAGAAGGCAAATCTGAGATTTCATTTAACTCCAGCTCTCGACACAGGTTCGGGAAAGCCCCATGAGCTTCTCGCTGTAGAGAGAAAATGGAACGCACACGCTATTTGTTGTTTGTTTATATCACACAGTCTGTTCTTCTTCTCTCGGTATCACGCAGTCTGTTCTTCTCTCTGGTGTATCACGCAGTCTGTCTTCCGGTTGTTGCCTCTTTTGAATGACGAATACACACTACCGCCGCCTGCTGGTAAGGAGAATTATTGCCACTCACGCATGCGCAGTTCGTACGTGCTACTTGGCCGTCGGGCTGAAGTCTTTGCGGTGTGTTCCAGTGCGACTGTTGGCCAAGACGCAGAGACGTGAGGCGACACAACAGTCGGGTCCGTCGGGACGTGTTCTTTGGTGTCAGTTTGGTGTGTGGCCTTTACACGTTTTTGTTCAATATTTGTATTTGCGAAGCGTAAATGCAATTGCCAGAAGTAAGAAGCTAACGCTAGGCTATAAAGTACAATGTTACCCATTGGATTGAAGTAGCGTTGCAGTAAAAAGTGGCAAAAATGTAAGTAGAGGTTTTCTCAATTGTGCACAAAGTTATTTTGTTATGGGCGTAATTCATTTCCCGTTCACTGGGCTTCATTTAAAAGTGAATATCAAAGACTGAATGTCCTCGCTGACACACAGATGAACTCAAACAGAGGACTTGTTGACCTGGAAGCTGCCACACACACACCTGAACCTCCTGACCGAACACCGCTCAATATGTATGGGGATTTCTGCAGAATAAATGAAGACATCCCAAAATCCTCCGTTATCGTGCAGCCCTCCGTCCCTTCCTATCATTTTGGGGCACAAATAGGAATATTAATCACCGATAAGGACAGCTGGTTGTAATAATAGCAGCACTTTTGTGTTGCTATGCTGAGAGAAGAGGCCGGATATTTTCTCATGGAAGATACCCGCCTTTTCTCCTCCTTTATAAAGACTGGAAAAAGGGTTTCTGTTGCAGTCTAATCGTTGGATAACAATGGGAATACATTCAGAGGAAACGGATTGAAGACACAACTGCGGGATCAATCTGTGCAGCAGTGTTTGTGCATTTACTCTGCAAGGATTTGGTTTTTAAATGCATCTGAAATTGCGAGAAAGAAAATGTACATTTGCTGTTAAAGTCCAGGTATGTATTTTAAGGATTATTGCACTTTATTTGCTTTAAAAAAAAAATGTAAATCATTGTCTTTATTCATTTTGCACATTTACAAGCAGACAAAACTACAGTACATGACATCACTGCTTGATTATATAATTAACTGACATGACAGGAAGTGAGTACGGTTAACACATACAATGCTAACAATTCAAAAATATAATAAGAAATCATTAAGAAGAACGGAGCAGAAATAGAACTAGTCCCCCACTTCAAGTATCTTGGAGTCATACTGGACTCAAACTTGACTTTTAAGAAACATATTAAGAAAGTATCCAATACCGTTAAATTCAACTTGCAAAATGTTAAACAAATTAGACCTTTCTTAACTGTCAATGCTGCAAAGTCATACCTCCACTGTATGATTCTATCCCACATTGAATACTGTTTTACAAACTGGTCGTTTGCTTGTGCCACAAACCTGAAACCCATAGAACAGCTGTGAGAGAGCGCTATCAAGGTATTTGACAGAAAGCCTAATTCATACCACCACTGTATCATCCTAGATGAACACAATTTCTTGAGCTTTGACAATTTTAAGTCTGTTAAAAGTATGTGTTTTATTTATAAATGTTTACATGGACTGCCCCCCCCCCTTAGGGGAATTCATCCACAAAAAACACACTGGACGCTGCACTAGGTCAGAAGCCACAGGACACTGTGAGGCCCACCGCAGATGGACCACCTTTGGACAAAATGTCCTCTCCAGTTCTGGAATAGCCTCCCAACTGAGATACAGGATTGTCCCACTCTCAATAGTTTCAAAGGACAACTTAAAGAATGGTTGAGAAACAAACAGACGTGCAATCATCGCTAAATGCACTTTTGTACAGGAGTATCTCCTCTTGCACTTCACAGTATGCACTTTTATCTTATCTTGCACTTTATATATCGTAGCTGCTACATTGTACTGCCATGTGGTAAATGCTTGTATGCTGCTCGTGCTGTTTCTGCATATCATGTATTTATTTTTGCTATGTATATAAATGTCATGTTCTTATATGTTGTATGTCACGGGACTACGGATGGCAATTAGCTCAAAGTTAAAATCCGGCTAATTTACACTTGTAAGCATTATTTTTGTTTTAAAGTGTTCATCAATGTGCACTGTCCCGGTTCAAATAAACGATACAAAAAAAAATCTAATTATATAGTAATACATTTTGCTGTATAAATATGTGCATAGTTTTC